GTCAATTAAATAAAAGTTAAAGAGAATTAACAAATCACAGATTCTTAATTCATTGCATTTCACAAAACATCCCAACTTTTTCTGATTTGCTGAAGTATCAAAATTATACTGTATATCTTATGTATATCAATCTTAAACGCTAAACATTCTTTCACACTGGTGAATTTACAAATAGATTTATCTTCATTTGCTTTGTTTGTATAATAGTGAATCATTCAAACATTGCTGTTTCTTTTGCTGTAGATTGTTTATTTATTTTGCATGCAAACTCATCAAGGGCGAGAAAGCTGACAAAGACTACCTAGTTCTCATCACGTTTTGCTTTTGGATGTATTATAAAATGACAACTATTAAAACAAATTTTACTACTTTACTGCACTGAAGTATAAAGTTTAGCAAGTGTAAGAAATCTCAAAGTCTCATGTCGTTTAATAAATAAATAAAGACCAGACACCAACTGCCTAGTAGGGTTAATTATTTAACTTTGTTAACTAGTTAACTACAAATTAAAATTATTAATGCTTTAATAATGAAATAATAATGCATTAAATACATTTAAATATTTTTAGATTTAATTTAAAATCTCAAATTTTTTAGGACACGTCAAAAAGAGGCTTTAAGTTTGATCTTTAACTGTAGAAGCTGCTAAATATATTCAGCCAACACAGACTTGTTACTGCTGTAAGTTTATTCTGCATCACTTAATGCACAGCTTTATTTTGACATTGATTCGTCATGGTTTTGTTCTGTCCATTGCCACAGTTATCACTGACAATCATAGCAAAGACTTTCAGAACAGTTTAGCAGATTCACTCCTGCAATTACACTGTGAATGGACTACACAGAGAAACTGAACAAAGGATGCTCCCTTTATAGCACAACTGACCGAGATCACTCACGTGAAAACTCCTGTTATAATCAATGACTAACTACACACTGCACAATCAATGTCTTATTTACACGGTGCCTGTGCTTTTTTGTTATAACGGGAGCATTTGTGAGCGTGTAGAATTCAGTAATCTTGTGAAACTTTACGAATCAGACAAATTACCTATTTCTGGATTAAAAACAGCAAATTTTGCAAAAAACTTTAACAATACCCCTCACATATACTGACAGATTTTCAAATCAAAAGGATGCTCCCTTTATAGCACAACTGACCGAGATCACTCACGTGAAAACTCCTGTTATAATCAATGACTAACTACACACTGAACAATCAATCTCTTATTTACACGGTGCCTGTGCTTTTTTGTTATAACGGGAGCATTTGTGAGCGTGTAGAATTCAGTAATCTTGTGAAACTTTATGAATCAGACAAATTACCTATTTCTGGATTAAAAACAGCAAATTTCAAAAAAAACTTTAACAATACCCCACACATATACTGACATTTTCAAATCATTTTGATACTGATTCAGAATCTCTGGATTGAATTCAGTATTCATTAATTTGAAAATATACAAAACAGTACATGTAAATTTTTCTTAAGGAAAAAGTATTGTGATGACATTAGTTATTGAGAGACTAAACTGACCTGCTCGATGCGGCCTTTCCGTAGCTCCAACATGGCCAAGTTATTGTAAGCTTCACCGTGGTTATTGTGAAAAGCCAAGGCCAGTTTAAAGCACTGGTAAGTCAGAGTCAAGTCACCAATGCCCTGTGGAATAGAGAGAGAGGAGAAAAGCCTGAAATGTCCATAATTTATTCATTAATAACTTGGGTCATTACAGACTGACATTAAGATTTTTTCAAAACCAGCAGATGTACACAAATCTCAGATTTTTAAAAAAAATACAAAAATCAGTTCTTACTCTTTTGCCATTAAAAGAACATGTTTTGCCACTTGTTTGCCAGCAGAGGTTATATGAGAAGCACACCTGGCTTTCCATGCTCCACTAATGTCTGGTTTGCAAAAAGACGTTCTTTTGAGTGATATCTATGGCGGCAATCCTATGCCATTAATAACCGAGCGCAGCACTGATGCTGGCGTGCGCGGTAAATCACTTCCGCGAGAGGAAAACAGATTTACACGCGAGGAAACGGGAGCCCGCGAGCTCATTTCAAACCCTCGCGCGCGCGTGACGTCCTCTGTGCGCAAATACAAGCCCTCGCGCGCGCATGATCATTCCCCACATCCTTGTGCTCGATCTTCCCTCACCTGCTCGCGCGAACACTTTTATTTTTGTCAGTCGTGGGGCGGAGCTTGCTGTTTTAATTGTAACCTCAAATGTCATTGGTTACTCCTCTTTTCCGGAAGTCAGTTTTGGACGCCTGTTATAAGATGATTTATAATTCTCTTGACTTAAGACATGGCATCAGTGGACCAGATACATGTGAGTTATCGTTTCATTTGCTTGTTTTATTTATTTATTTGCTGAATTTACACAAGATACGATGCAGAGATCCATTGTTGTTTTAGGGCTGCTAATAATTATTTTTTCTATTGTTTATATTTTTGATTGGTTGATTAATCCAACGATTAACATTTGAATTATGCGCCAACACAGTTATTGGACTGAAAAAGTTATTTCCCATTAACAATGATGTAGACACGTACTCTCCAGCCAGTCACAACTCTGAGTTTATGCATATACTTCACATTTTCTTACGCTGCTTCAAATTTTCTTTTCAAACCGGAAGAACAAACCCCACCTTTTTCTTTAATCATAAACGCAATGAGTGCTATTCATTGTTTTCAGTGATGTGCAACCTGTATATATCTGTTAACTTCTGAAAATGTGTTACAGGGTTTCACAACCTTTTAAAATTCATAGTTCAGAAAATCCAGGACAGGTCTCATTTTTTGTCCTATGTTGTTCACTACTCGGCATTAGTCCCACCCTCCCACAGCTTTACACATTCTCAATCAGTGTCTTCATGTGGAATATCCTAAATAATTTCCCAGATGATAGTTACCCTGTCATACTTATTGACTGCTCACCTTTTTAGGGATGCTTTTGATGGCATCTGCTCTATGATCAAAGCTATAATAAATAGCTCTACTGTCTATGGGTTTGTTCCCTGCAAAAAAACTCATTTCAGGGGGGAAGCATCACACCAATATCACTACATACAGTAATGCATATATAATATAATATATATATATATATATAAATATATAAATTCAATTTGAGTTTTGTTAAACTAATATAGAAGCTTAGTTTACCGCGGCTGCGGTCGTGGTAAGACCGAAGAGTGTAAAGAGCATCGACTCTAGCGTGCGACTCCAGCGGGCAGGACACCGGCAAAGGATAAGAAATAAAGCTTTTTATTTCTCCTCTTTCCTACTACTTGTTTCACTTCTGTTTCAGTTTTTTATAACCATTTCTTATTATGTGTCAGTAATTGTTGTTATTTTAGCATGTGTGTTTGGCTCAGTGTTATTTTTTTAGGATTACTGATAGTCGCTTTGGATAAAAGCGTCTGCTAAATGACAAAGTAAAAAAGTAAATAATACATTGTGAGATTATATGCCTCATCACGATGAAGTACATGAATAGAGTTGCTCCTTTGATAGTCAGCCAATTTAAATGACATTAACACCAAAACTTAAAGCTGTCCTGACTTCTCTTTTTCGTTTGCTTGCTCATAAGCGGTGTTAGCAGGGTTGGTTCATTCAATGGCAAATGTATATCGTCTGACAACTTTTGAAGAAATCACCAATAAAAAGCTCTTAATACTGGAAGCAGGGCTTCTCTCTCATGCCCAGTTTTCAGGATATTGTATATGATTTGCAGGCATTGCATGTAATTTGCCGCTGAGGCTCCTGGGCCTTCTGGGAGAGGTGAAATGTCTGCAGTTCCAGTTAGTTTTAAAGAAGCCATTGTACAGCCTTTATTGAAAGATTCTCATCTTGACCTCACTGTATAGAATAATTACTGACCCATCACCAAATTACCTTTCATCTCAGAAGATGTTGAGAGAAGGTTATGTTGTCAGATACATTTAAATTAGGTTTTCGTGTTTTAAGCTTTGCTGAAGGTCACAAATGTCCTTCATGGTTTGTCTATTTTAACATTGTCATGATATTCTGTTAAAACGCCTTAAGTGTGTACTTTGGCACACAGGGCCTTGCATTACAGTGTTTTGCTTCCTATTGAAAGGGTAGGTGCTTTTTCATGAACATTTAGTCTTTCTCTTCATCACCTGCACCCATTTCTGGTGGTGTTCCACAAGGATCCATTCTAGGCCCTCTCTAATTTCCCTTTACTGTGCTTCCTCTGAGTTCTATATTTCTAAAATATAACATTACATATCTTTGTCATGCCAATGATTTCCAAATTTACCTTCCAATCAAATCAAATGATACTTGTTCATTTGACCATATTTTTCCATGCCTAGTTGAAATTAAGACGTGTAAATAATTATATTTTAAATGGATGAGATGCCGTTTCAGTTTTTTATCAACCCTCTACAATGCGAGTAAATCACTCGCATATGCAACTAAATGTTCATGCTAATCGATTAAATAATGTCAATCAATAGCCATTGGCTAATAAATAGTTAGATTTTACTAGAGTTTGAGTTAAAGAGTAAGATTTTTTTTTTTTTACTCGTCTTCACTTGTCTTGAACACTCTTGAGTACTTGAGAGTTTCGCTCTCTGTCTTTAAAGAGCACTATTCCAGTTCATCTCAATGGATGTGCAGCGTATATGACCCCGACTCGCCATTGCTTATCTGAGAGCGCTCTGTGTTTCTCTCACACACACAAAGAGAGAGAGAGAGAGTCTTACATACTGTACCACGTAGAACTGACGCACTACATGTAAATGATGTTTTTTGTTGTATTTTCCAGTGCTCATTTTAAATTATTCAGCCTTTTTAAAACATGCAGAAGCCACTGCCGGTTTCTTCGGTAGTGGGCGGAACTAATGTGCAACCAGCAATCTCATTGGCTGGTGTTGCAGATGTTAATGTGGAATGACCTATACAGAGCCCTGAAATTTGTTTAATGCAGCATAATAAAATACAGAAATTAGATCAATCAAAACGCGATTTAAATTATAATATTAAGCCAGGGTTAAGCGTAGACTGATAACAGAAATCATAAATTCGTGGGATTGTTTCATCTTCATTTACTGCGCACCTCTGATCTGCACGCACTTCTCCAGCACGCGCTTTCACCTGTCTTCCACAGAGAGCCGCGCGCTCGCAGAATTTAAAAATTAAGGGTCATTTTCTGTTTTACTGGCTGACTGACTCGCTCGTTCATCGATCTCTTTATTGAATGATTACTTAAAATCATGGGCGTTGGAAGCAAAATAAATGTGGGTGGGTCCTCCCCCAGAAAAAATTTACTGGAGTATATGCCATTTTCTGTAGTGTGGTGCCTTTTAATTAACAGTGTCTATTTACACAAAGTGCAAATAGGCCGCCTGGTTGGCAGCGGCTATTTACTTCACCTCCGCTCACTAACGTGACAACATTACAAAAGACGGCTGCTGAGCAACATTTCCAGTGGCGCAAGTGGTAATGCGGGTTGCGTAGTGTTTTTGATGCGAGCGACCCGAGTGTGCATCCACCTTTTGCCGAATTCGTTCTTGTCCCTTTTCACATCGGAAAGGCTTTTGTTTTCAATAAAAATTAAAATCAAGGAAATAATCGAAAAGTTGAAATAAAGTATCAGGTAGGGTTAGGTGTATCTGAGCAGCAGATGCTGATGCTTTGTTTACTTTGCTGTGTCACGGGAGTGCAGCAGGTGCGAGTAGTGAAAACACGGAATGGAGTTTAATTTATATGGACTCTGAATGAGCCAAGTGGAATGGGTTTGAGGAAGCAGCAGCGTGGAATTCAAGGCTGTAGCTAAATGGAGTTTATTTTTTTTAGGGCATTCGTCATGTGGAATGGATTTGACTGACAGTGCTCTGAAAAGTACCCATATTATTCGCTGAATTAGAGACAGTAAAAGTGGGTGGGTCCAATATCATTGGTCTTCAAAAGTGGGTGGGTCCTGTGTCCCACCCTCATTCAATGGTTCCGACGCCCATGCACATAGTTATGTGTCAAAATGCCTGTCTCCTCGTCAACACAATCATTTGTGTCTTAAATGAACGTTAATAGTTAAAGATAAAGCATGTGCACTAGTTGGCTATTATGAGATCCTGGCATTTGAGCCGAGTGGAATGGATTTGAGGAAGCAGCAGCGTGGAATTCAAGGCTGTAGCTAAATGGAGTTTAATTTATTAGGGCATTCGTCATGTGGAATGGATTTGACTGACGGCGCTCTGAAAAGTACACATATTCGCTGAATTAGAGACGGTAAAAGTGGGTGGGTCCAATATCATTGGTCTTCAAAAGTGGGTGGGTCCTGTGTCCCACCCTCATTCAATGGTTCCGACGCCCATGTATATATACTATATATTAGTGGTTCAACGGATCACAAAACTCACGGTTCTGACCATATTACGGTTTTTGAGTCACGGATCGGATAATTTTTCAGGGTCAGCCGGGTAAATCATTTTTAATGTAACTGCTTTCCATTAATTACTTAAAGTTAATTACTTCTTCAATACCATAGCAAAAACTTCTAGGCTAACTAAGAAAGAAAGTGAACAGTCAACAAATACACAAATTACAAGCATAGATAAATACAACAGAACAAAGTTACAAATAAAATAATGTTGTAGTATTCAGGTACAGAAATGTAATAATTTAGTGTAAAATAACACTGCATAGTGTTCACTGTATAAATAAAAATATAGATGAATCTTTGTCAAAGCTGTGTTTTGTTGTTTGATTAGCTGTGCTGTTCAGACTACATGACTTGCTGTCTGTCTTGAAGTCATTGTGTTCACACTACGTGACACTGCGTGAACGATCCGCAACAGAGCGTCACACACTACACCAGCTGACAACAACTCTGTCACCCAACCACTCTACACAGTCTTTTTTTTTTTAAACTGACATCGGGAAGAAATTAGTGCTGCAAGCTGTTTGTGTGATGAAACATTTCGCTCCATTTCTTCTGTCCAAACTTTTCTTAAAGCCGTGTTGCTGCTGCTGTTTTTCTTCTGCTGACCTTAAAGGGATAGTTCACCCAAAAATGAAAATTCTGTCATCATTTACTCTGTAAATGAGTAATTTCTTTTCCTACTATGGAAGTCAATGGGAACCACCAACTGTTTGATTACCAGCAATCTTCAAAATATCTTCTATGTTCAACATAAGAAAGCAACTCATACAGGTTTGGAACAACATGAGGGTGAGTAAATGATGACAGAATTTTCTTTTTTGGGTGAACTATCCCTTTAACCCATGTCTTGCTCTCTCATTGGCTGTAGCTCGTAGAGACACCTGACATCACGTGATGTCGAGTTGGCCGACCGGTCCAGATATGCTAGATATTTGTTTGGCGTCTGCGAGACTCTTTGACGCGTCGTAGAGTAATTCAGACAAAGATTGCTGAGCGCTGATCACCCACTGATTTCCCTCTAATCACAGCCCGACCTGTCGGCGAGCTCGTTAAATTGCAAATTGTGCTTAAAGTCCTGTAGTGTGTTTTTGGCTTAAATGACAGAAGAAGGTATTTGTAGGCTGCTGTCCCTTTAAGATCTGATGCACAGATCCAATATAATGATACACATCCGATTTCTTTCTCAGCTGATTTCATTCACTTAAGACATGAAATGATCGTCGAGATGGGTATTTTGTCATCATTTTATGTGTATGTGTCTGTTCAAACGCAAGGAGATGCGAAAGAGGATTCAGTTCGGTGTTCACGCGCTGTCTGAAACACGAGTGTGTGTGCGGCTGAGCGCAGAGAAAACAGCGTGCGAGTACCAAATTAAATGCTCTTTCTCTTCTTCTTGTGCTGGAATGGTTTAAAATCGCTTGAGTGTGATTCACGTACAAATGATAAACTTTCATTCTACTATGGTTCAATTTTGTAATTATTCCATGGATCACATGCGTGCCGAACCGTGGGGCCTGGTCCGTACGGATCACGGATCAGCTACGATCAGTATACATACAGTATATATACACAGACACACACAAACACATATATTAGTCTGGCGAATAAACTACAAAATTTACCAGCAATGGCAATTCTATTGCCAATGTGTCCGTAGAGGGTTATTTAAGTTTCATGAACTTTATAAAGTTTTAAAAATGGTCCAAAATTTGTAAGAATGATGTTTATATCCTTATGTTCACTCTCCGTGAAAAACATGCAATTTAAAGGGGCATGTCAAGAGTTTAAATCTCCAATCAGAGCTTTTTCTTAAAAAGATACACTTTCTGCCCAGTGTTTTACTTATTCTTCCCACCCTGGCAACCATAAACACTCTCTCTGGGCTGCTAAAAAGCACTGATGATCTGAAAACCCTGACAAACATGTGTGCTGGAGTTTAGCGATCTCCACTGACATATTCTGCTCTAATTAAATAGTCATACAGTCGCTTGTGCTGTTTGCTGCTACTAAATTTGCAAACAAACAGAAACAAACTGTAATAAATCCAAACATGAATTTCGGCCAAACTGTTTGCGATTGTGGTTGCTGAATAAATGCACTTAC